ATCAATACAACCACAGCAGGTAAGTGAAGTAACATTGAAGATGTTTGTATCTGTTCCATTTACGTAAGGAACGGTGGCACTTCTCAAAATTATACGCTTTTATTATACTACGTTTAAGAGACAATAACGACACCTCCGATGATATATTTTATGAGCCATTTTATGTGACAACTTAATTTATAAACATTTATACAGAGGGAACGAAGAAAATAAACCACCGCCCGCCGGTTACGTAACATAAAACTTATACTAAAATTTACAAGCACTTCATTCGAAGTGCCGGCTACTGTCGCACTTATTTCGATAGCGTTAAGAGCTGCTACTTTTACGTCATTGAAACTTCTCAAAAGATGTGGATTACTTCTAAAGTGGCTTTCCGGCCGATAAATTCGTTATATTTTAAAGAAACTTTCAGTCGGGTTTTAAACATGAAAGTGTTAGAGAAAACGAGGGCATGAAAGAAGTTAATAAATTATATGGTCAAATACGTCAGTGATACCACCCCTAAAAGCTTTTACACAAAAAATGGAATCACTCACTGATTGACAAATGAATAAATCTGTAATCACAGCTCACTTTCGCTCTTTTCCTAAATTTGGATGTTTTTCCAGGTGCCTTACAATTTCTTTAACAACACTGAAATGTGATGCTAATTAGTCTTAGGTTCTAAGTGTATTCACCCTCAACCCCAGAGATGTCCCAAATGGCCTCAAAATTATAATGCTATTTTCATGATAAGGATGAACTGGACGCTTTTAGACATTCTCGCGTGAATCGTAGCGTGTCCAGGCAGATAAACCATGACCTACTTACTCGGGCGTTTCCCTAACCTATACAGGATTCAAAATTGAAAGAAAGAAAAGAATGATTTCACCAAACTTAAGAATCCTACAATTCACTTAAATGCAAACATGTGTGCCAAAGTAACGAATTTCTAGCACATTAGTTTAGTATCGTTATTCAAACTACTTCTATAATTTTGTAATTCGAAAAAGAACATTAGTAGAAAAGTCTCACTACTTTTTTGTGATGCCTTGGTGATGGGGGTTTCTCGGTGATGAAACTCAGGAGTGACCTTGTTGGTGGTGCAAGCTCGAGCCTGCCCCGGTACCAATTCTTCAGAATTTGAGGTTTTTAGTTTTAGGAAGACATTTGACGTTTCAGAACTTGGAAACATTTTCGAGTTTAATTTTATTTCATAAGAGAATAAAAGAATTTAGAAATTATTTACGAAATCCTGGGCGATCTGTAGTTCCTTCATTTTCCTAGTCCTAGGAACTGGGTTTTCGGTGTGCTCTTTCCGATTTTTTAAATTCCAAAAATTCGTCCAAGATGGTGCACTTCTAAGCGAGGGAACGAAAAAATCTAATCTCCAGCATAAAACTAACACAACCAAATTTAGTTTTTAAAAATCACAACGCAAAATCGTAGGGTTTCAAATTATTCCCGCGCGTAGAACACATCCCATAGACTTTGAAAACTGTTAGAACAGTTTTGTTCAATTTTTGTTGCGTCCAAGATTTTTTTAATTTTTGATTCGTTTGTTTCCATGTTCAAAAATCTCTAAATACCAAGTTTCGTGTAGAGGTCAGAATTTTGTCGCATCTTTGTGGTCGCATCTTGGGGTAGGTAATTTGGTTGAGTTTTTACAAAATCAAAAAGAACCTCAACAACACCTTTAGCAGCTAAACGAAATATTTTGGACGCAATGTTATTATTACATACTTAAATGTTCCTGTATTTAAAAAAATGACCCACCCCTCCTTATCATCAACGATGGAAATATTGATTAAAAAATACAAATTTAAATCGGAATTCATTTACATAATTCTTGATAAATTAATAGTAAACAAGAATACACTGTTCTATTGAGAGTAAAAAAATCTCAAAAAACACCTTCTCATGGATTATGTTCTCCTGGTAGTCAGAGAAGATTTACATTTTTCTTATAAATTTTCCGTGTACCAAGAAGAGAAGCAGCCCCTCGCACATTATGTTCGCCTCATTGCAAAGTTGCAAAAATTTAAACGAAAATAATGTTGGAATGTTTCTTCTGAGCATAGAAAACCAGCTCATGGATTATGTTCTCCTGCTAGCCAGAGAAATTTAGCAAAATTTGTCGAACAAATCCTCCCTGTGTTAGGAACATAAAAAACTCTTTCTCCGTCTCATGGATTATGTTCTCCTGGTAGTCAACATTTTCTAAAAGATTTTCCGTGTAGTAGAAACAGAAATATCTCTTATACTACCATAATTTTCTCCTGGTATCAAACTTGCAAAAGTTGAAAATAAAGTGTTGAACCATTTCTCTCGACCACAAAAAAAATCCTCCTCATGCCTTCCTTGCCCTTTATATACTCCAGTTACAGAAGTTCAAGCGAGAATAAAAAGTTGAAACGTTTCCCTTGAGCATTGAAAACATTTTGGGTTATGTTTTCCTGGTAGTCAGAGACAATTTTTGTACCATGTTCTTCGTGTATTAGAAAACAGGATCATCTCGTCACGCACTCTTGATATTATATTTTAAGGTTTAAACGAACGTGTTGGAATATTCCTCTTGACAACAGAAAAAAATGTCCTCATGGATTATATGTTCTCCTAGTAGCCATCTCTGTGGAGCAGGAATACAAATAACTTTTCGCACATTAATTTTTCCGTTACAAAACTTGTAAAAGTATGAACGAAAATAAAGTGTTTTGTTGAGCATAGAAAAAAAAGTCCTCTTCTTGACATCTGTTCTTTTGGTAGGGGGATTCTCTACTATTAGGAACGGGAACAAAGGCGCTTTCTGGTTACATGATTTCCTGGTAGTCAGAGAGAATTTTGTACTTAAAACAGCAACACTCCCTCGTATATTATATTCTCCTGATACCAAACCTGTAGAAGTTTAAATGAAAACATTTCTTTTAAGTATACAAAATCTCCTCGTGAATTATGTTCTCCTGGTAGCCACTAAATCAAGCAGGCCGCCAATTTCTAAGGCTATAGCTTATAGGGCATATTGGACTCCACTTGGTGAATTTTGACTAAAATAAATTGTCAACTTTGCCGATTGTCCCCGATTTATAACGAAATGATGAGTTTTTTGGGACTTTTGACAGAAAACATTTTGGGGGATGCTTGAGCCCGTGCCTAGTAAGCTACGACAAAAATATTGAAAAAAATCCTTGCTTAGAATTTCTTAACGTGAATGGATCTTATTTGATTCGATTTTTACTTAAATTTTTCAGCTTTTCATGAGCGAGTGGTCCTAAAATTGAATGCGCGTGAAAGCTCGCGGCGCCGAGAAGTCGTGGGAGAGGACGAAATTAGCTAGAATTGCGAGACGATTTTGCAAGGATCACATCCGCCGTATCAAGCTTGCAAAGCAGCGTGTGAATAGTTGATTCAGTGAGATTCCACTCCACGTGCAGTTGAGTTATTAATGTCTGATCCGTTGTGTAAAATTAATTTTATTGGTGGCCAAGTTGTGCGTCCCACAATGGATGTCAATAAAAAAATAAAGTAGTGAGATATGGTTGTTCGGTGAGTGCCGTGGGGCAATTGTGATTAAGCCGCGAGAAAATTTGCGTCGCGCCGCGAGAAATGCATATTGAACCGCGAGCGAAGTGGGGTCAACCACCTGAGTCTAACCAGCGAAATTAAGGCGACCATCTGTAAATATTACTTGCAGAGTACTTGAATCCGCCTCCAGTACAGTACGTTTAAATCGAACGCGAAAAAACTTGCGAATTAAAGTTTTTGTTGCAAGGATTATTTAACCCTTTGCATTTTTTGGTCAAGGAACTATATTGTATGTAACTGTTTGTTTTCTCATGTAGGTGTTAATGATTTTTATTTTATAGCATATGTTAAAATGACATTTTAATAGGTTTGAATGAGGATAGATTTAACCGTAAGGGTAGATAAAGTGAAACAGATGACCGTGCATTCTAATGACATCTGTCATTCTTGTTTCAATCAGGCAGGTAGATTTTGAATTTTATATTTTTAAATGTCATTATTTGTAATTAAGTAAAAAAAAATTAATTATTAGTATGATCAGAGTCTTGATTTCGTAACTACCCGTTGCAACGTAAACCTAACGCCCATTTCTAAAATTAAATGCGCACAATGAGCAGGACGCGCAGGGTTAGCTTTCATATGGCCGTGGCCCCACGTTGGGCGCGAAATAAACAATTATTGCGCGCAATGGTATCCGGTCACTATGCCACTCAACAGAGACTTACCTAGCTAGCTCAAATTACACAATTTAATTTTTTTTCTTTTTAAATTATCCCTCTGGACACAACTGGGTTCCGACACAAGATGAAAACACTAACATTGAAATTCCGTAAATTCCAATGAAATCACTACTCAAATTTTGAATAAGATCGGCAATAATAATTATTATTTTTGCATTCTTAATAGCACAAACTTGGACAACGTTAAACTTGTTTCCGCATTATTTTACTACCATAAGGACGATTCCGTTTCTTTTTTTTAAAATAATAATAATATTGTCTTTATTCAACAAGCTATAAATAAATTATACACACAACATACAAAACAATAAAATTATAAAACTCATATGCTTGTTGTTGCATAGCCGGCTGAACTACCGGTACCAAAATTAGAGTCATAGACATTTATGCTCGCTTTAATATAACCCAACACAGTCTCGTTTACTCTTCATTCTTCCTATTTAACCAAAAACCACCTCTCACAAATTCAACATCGACCCGACGACACTCTAAATTCCTTCCCGTCGACAGAACTGATGAAACACCTGCATTGCTTATCTCGCACGTGACATGGTCGAAAAGCCACTTAATTCTTGTCAGATAACCATTTTTTATCAGCACCTGATCAGATAATAAAACTTTAAACTCACGTAAAAATTTGGATTAAATGTTCCCTTAGTCACCCATTTTAAATTATCATACAAGCTAAATACAACAAATTGTATTAATCCCCCAATCTTATGGAATAACTTGAATTATGTTACATACAGGCTGTACTGGCTGCTATTTCCGATATTCTAACCGAAATTACGTTTGCCCTGCGTTTTGAAACAAATCTGCCAGTTCGTGTTTTCCGTAAAGCTTCATACGTTGGATCCACCACGACGACCTCTATTTTGCACCCTGGTTTACAGTATGTGCCTTATGAGCTCGGAAAGAAACGGCAATGTAACATCAATTGTTATTCGGAAAATAAACCAAAAAAACGCAGTTTACGTCTTATCGCATTGATCATAGACGACGTATAAGATAAAAGTCGAGGAACGCCACAGCTACAAAAAAAAGGAAACGCTATGTACAAAAGTAAAATTAATTAGTAATAGTAATTTTCAATTTAGCTGCTAATTACCCCCTAATCAACAAAAAAATAAATGTAAAATGGCCGACTTCCTCCATCCGCTTTCGTTTTCCAAACGCCTTCAAAAAGAAAGGGGCGCCAACCGCATTAATAACAACTTAATTATTGCTTCCGATTTAAATAAGCCAATCCGTGACAAATAGTAATTTCCGTTAAAATTCAAGTTAATTAATCACCTCAATTCTCGGGGAAATTGTGAAATGCGTTACCTACAAGCAGCGGAGAGTGTGGGACATACTCGCGCAAAATCCAATTTAAATACGTAAACTACACGCTACATAAGTAATGCATAAAATTACCTGTCGACCTCGTAACGAACACAACCACCATCCCTCTATGTTCCCCGTGTTTTGTTCGAGCACCACCAGAATGTCACCTTTGCGGAATGCTAATTCGTCGGGCGACTCGGCTATGTTATCGTAGAGCGCTCTTGCCAAACAGTTCTGTAACAAAAAAAAAGTTTAAATTAACGTCTTCGCGTCATGCACTTTACTAAGTTGTACGTTTAACAACTTCCTGGTCGTGCAAGGATTATGTACGAGTACGACCCACTTTCATTGATCCGTTTTTTGGGTCGTTATGCATTTTAAAAATAAACGCCGCTTTGCATACTAAACCATCACTTTTCATACAAACACAAAAATTGGATAATTAAAATTCTCACACGTTCTGAATTATTTAAAGGCAATCGTAACATGATCCTCACTTTAAAATGGAGTTTCCAGCAATTACGAAACTAATCCATTTCGTAGCCCCATAAGGTAAAACTTTCCTATCCTATGCCGAATTTACATCCTAAATTTAATTAGGATATTCGGGCGATGAATCAGAAAGGCGATGATGTCATAAAAACAAGGGGAAACAAGTACTCTAAAGGGGGATGATTGACGTAATTAGAAATGAGATTGATTTGTTAAATGGATTCGATTCGATGGATATGATTTCGTCGCAAACAGCTTCGACCTTGAACCAAATTATACCGCGACTCCCTAATTAACAACTGGTTTAAACTATCATTATCAATTAGCAGCGTTCGTTTCAATTGCCAATTTACATATATTATGTGTGTAGTTTTTTGAATGTAAAAATAAACAAATTGCGACCATATACGAACGTCATCGATTTTTGAAGGCCGGAGTCGGCGGTCAGGTACAAAGCGAAATTCCAAAGATGCTCGCGAGGATGGTCATAAATTTTAAATGCAGTCGGATATCAGAAACTCCTCCATTAAGTTAGGTCTCTGGGGTTGAAAATCACCCCATACAGTGCCCGAAACTACATTTGCAGTTGGATTTAATTACGCGAAGTGATGTGTTCATCCCTTATAAATAGATTTATTTCCCCCCACCACCGTTACATTCTCTCCTCTTACTTTTTACTCGTAGTTTTTTAATGACCAGTGTTTTCAGGGAATCTAAAAATGTAACGCTAGCTCTTAATTTGGATTTATTTTTTCAGATAAGAGTTTCTGAAATTTTTAGGGCTGAGTATTGTTGTAGGTAGAGAATCTAGAGGGCGGTCAATATATATGATTGGTAATTTCGAAATTTGGGTAAATTTAGATTTGTAGAAAAGTTCGAAGTTTCCAATTAAAGTTTAGCGATCGTTTTTTCTGCTTTATTTGAATTCTACAGTATAATAGCCTCGATAATAGCTGATGACGTGGGGGTAATAAAAACAAAGTTTTTTTATTTTAATTGGTTTTATCTGCTCCAAATCGTAGAGTAAGGATTAGATGATAGTCCAAATTGTAAAGATGCAATTCCGTCAAATTTCAGTTCGTGGGTTTCATGAGGAACCGTACTCACAGCGATTTTAATTGGCTTAAAACGGCGTGTTAATTAATTAATAAAAAATAGGTAGGGATTATTTCGGTAATTTTTGGAAGGCATTCGGGTCTGGACCACTTGTGCATTCACGATTTATGGCATCATGGGTTGAGCAGCGAAAGAGATCGCGACAATTTTGCGGGTAGTTATATTAATACGAGGAAGTTTTGGAAGAGATTCGATCGAAAACTACCAAGGAGTCACCACGTAGTCGGCCGCGAAAAAAAAGAAATTTCGTTCAGAAGTTGCCAGGGCGAAAGTCGTTTTTTCAATTCCGGGTTATTTTCGGCGTTAAGTGGGGACGCGTTTCTTCGAAGCTGGCGTTATCAAGTCTAATCGTCATTGGCGGCGTTTTTGAAAATCCTGTATGAGATTATTTTATGGTGGAAGAAGTGGTTTTTTCTTTAAATACTGGATACATGAAAAACGAAGCTATTGCTAGCTGTTAGTTTTCCGCAACGGTGAAAGAGCGTGTAAATTTTTGTTTTGCTGAAGAAGCAGTATGTCGGTTTCGAAGCAGCCACCGAGAATTTGTTCACTTTACTCATCAAACCGGATTTTGTCATCAAGTTTTCAGAAGCTATTAGTGTTTGTGTGAGTGTAGTGCGCTTATATCGCAAATTTTGTACGACCAAATTTTTGGGATTAAGAAATTTATGATTTTTTTTAATTTTTAATTATCGACCGCCTGCGTGCGGGGTATATGTTCAAACAAGCTTTGTAAGCTTTTCATTCTTTCAGGGATTTTGTTCTAATTCTTTCGTGTGTTTCGGAACAAATTTTTGTAATTGTCAATCAATGAATTGTACGTTTATTCGAATCCTTTGTGCGACCCGGATAGAGTTTTCATGTCAGATTTTTTCTATTGGTGCCCAAGATTTATTTGAGGTGTTGATCAAAATTCATGTAATAAATTATTTGAAATTGTCGGAAGTTGGTCGAGGCGACAGAAATTTTAAGACAATAGTAGCATTTTTCTTTTGGTACATGACGGATATGTATAAGGAGAGAATATAAAATGCTAAGCTTCAATGTTGGTTTGTTTTGAGCTAGCTGGCAGATGTTTTGTGGCTGGTGTAGTGACCGCAAGACCATTGCACTCAGCAATATCTTTAAGAAAACATTATATTTTATATTGGATCGTAGTAGAAAAGTCCCTTCAAGGAAAATTTGGATTTTAATGTTCTTAAAAATAGCAATCTTTGGGCAAATCGAAGCCTTGTATTGCATGTATTTAATCATTGGTGAACCATTTGGTTACTCATTTTAAGGTTAGTTTTAGCGTTCAATGACGAGAAAATGGTCAAATTAGGGAAAAGTAGCACAAATAAACAGTTATTACCATTTACCATGCTTTGAATAAAAACCAGAAAATTCCGATGACTTTCGAAGAAAAACCGAAATTTGCCGATTTCATTTTTATTTCATTTGAGCGGATACAGAAAAATAAAAAACATTTTGTCATTGCCACTTTTTGCGGTCTACAAGGTACCGTTGGGAGATTTTCAATACAATGTTTCGTTTCGGAGAAATCATCATCAAGTTTAGTTATTTATACGGCCCGTAAATACCTCGAAAAATACATACTGTATTGAATAGCATTTTTTATTACTACAAGGATGTAAGGCACACAAAAAAATGAAAACTCTGGTGGTTTCAACAGAATGGTGCACCCGCATACAAAAAGATATGAATTTTTTAAAGCGGTACTTTTGGTGTACGGGTACTTTGGACATTAAGGACGGACGCTATTGATTTTCAGGATGCTGGTTCACCAGGAACAAAAGTTATAGGACTTCGAGTAAATCGGGAACAGGAAAAACTGCGGGGTCAATATAATAAAAATCAACATGTTTCATTCCCTAGGTCATGTATCGAATTCGGACTACCGCTAGATTATTTCGTATTGGATGTGTAACAATTCAATATAACTCTTCTCTGTGATATAGGTCAAAAGTTTTAGAGCAAAATGTACCCAACATTATTTTTTACACATGAATTTGGAGTTTTAAAAGCTTTCAAACGCATTATCTTGATGCTGAAAGATTACATCCCGTACACATTTGATAACCACATGTGTGTGATTCAAAGATCTTAAATTATTTTTCTGATGTCACATGGATTTTGATCAAAATATGTCAAAATCGTTATTTATGCGCCAAGATTATTGGGAAAAAGACTAGAGGCATATTATCTCAATGCCGAAGACATGAATTTGATGCATTTTTGGCGACCACGTGGATTTTAATCAAAACATGTCAAAATCGTTATTTATGCACCAAAATCGTTGGGAAAAAGCCTAAGAGCATTATCTCAATGACTAAAACATGGATTTGATCTATTTTTGACGACCAGGTGGATTTTGATCAAAATAAGTCAAAATCGTTAATAATGCACCAATAACGTTGGAAAAAAGACCAAGAGCATTATCTCAATGACCAAAACATGGATTTGATCTATTTTTGACGAACACATGGATTTTGATCAAAACATGTCAAAACCATTATTTATGCACCAAGATCGTTGGGAAAAAGACGAAGAGCATTATCTCAATGACCAAAGCATGAATTTGATCTATTTTTGGCGATGACATGGATTTTGATCAATACATGTCAAAATCGTTATTCTTTCACTGACATCGTCGGGAATCACAAACGATGATTAAGGTTAATCACTGATGAAAAGTATTAGAATGGGAAACAAATGAGCGTATTATCAAAGGTGGCTAACATTCTAATATTTTTAATCATTGATTAACCTTAATCATCGTTTGTGAAACCGGGCATAAGAGCATTATCTCAATGACCAAGAGATGAATTTGATGCAACTATAAAATGCATTATGTAAGATTAAAACTAATTGTCGTTAAAAGTGATTGTAATACTGAGGATCCTTTAATATTCCGTTGTATCGGTTTATTTACAAGTTTTGCAGTTGGCGGCTACCTGCAACTGTTTTTCTACTGGAAGATGTATAATATAATCAAGTTAACTTCCAAAGATCAAAATTATAGGAATAATATGACTAATACGTCATCAGTCTGAAGAATGCGATTTTCACACGAACGGATAGACAGACGAACATACCACATAATGGCTGTAAGTTAACGAATAAAACCTGTGCCAAAATTCCATCATTCTTTATTCAATAAGTAATTCAATTCAACGCATCGAACAAAGCAAGTGCAGGGTAAGTATAGTAATTTATTGAGCCCGTAGGTAAGAAAAGGGCGGGCTCAAAAACAGGTAAAATTCCTCGGTATTCGCTACTGGTTTTGATCTAATTGTGATGCGACCTCTGTTATTGCGCCTTATTACTCAAGGACGAAATTAAAAATCAATTCCTGAAAAGGTCGTTTACTAAACGCAAACCGCAAACCACACATCGCCTTAGAAAAAAAGACTCATTTCGCGTGCTTCTTCCTACAAATCGGAATGAGATAATTCCGTTCGGTATCCAATTTTAGATTCTTACACAAAATGCGATTATCAGATATTCAATTTCGGAGGTCTATGAGGCAATAAACTCTCTCCCGTTTCCCTCTTTTTATTCGAGCCGAAAAGCCAATATTTAAATTCGACGTCACGATAAGGCACGCTTGCTTAGTCCGAATT